TTAATGATCAGTATCTCATAATCTAAATTCTTTCTTGCGTATCTGAATAAGGCTGCAGTCCTGACCTCACTTATCTAAGAGTAAGCCCCATTGAATTAAATCGGACTTAGACTGGAATAGATGTGGTTAGGATTGCACTGTTAGTGTGATGTTTCTTTAAAGCAATCTTGTGTTGAACCGAGTAGATATTTGTTGCCGAGGCAGTTCATATCAAGGTCCTTAATTGTAAAGTTTAATCCTGTGCAGCTGCAACTGCTTTCTGGTTGAATGTGTTTGTAAACATACAAGCCATTATTGGTAAGGTAAGGTGCTTCACCTGTGGCTTTTAGTATCTGGGAACTGGTTTGTGTGAATTTCTTTACATCAACCCACCAGTGCATTACCTCTTCTCCTATTGCAGTGAATGAATGTTGTGCCCTCTGTTGTAAGAGAACAAGGCTGCATACACAATATTTCTTTGAAGCACTTTTCTCTCTCTCTCTCTCTCTCTCTCTCTCTCCCCCGAATTCTGGACTCTGTAGTTTGCTAGGAGTTGCTGGGAATTTGTAGCTGTGAGGAGTAAGCTATAATACCTAGAATTATTTGAAGGAAAGAATGTTCTTCAAATGTTCTTTAGAGATATACGTGGTCTGCTTGCAGCCTCAAAAACAGTTGACTGCATTTCTGTCACTTTGTCTAAGCTTGCAGCCTTGAATCGGAAGAAGTTAATATTAAAATTAATTGTGCTATCATTATGCAACTACATATGTAAAGCCGTTCAGCTGAATATGCTACAAAAATAGTTTGATGCGTGCCAGGAGCCTCAGCCAGCAATCTTCTTCTGTTTGTTCTTTAATGGCCTATTGTCTTGGGTATTAACAGTCTTACGACTGGAGTGTACAGTTCTGTGCTCAGCTCAAGACACCACAGACTTGTTGGAGGAACTGCGGTCCAGAAACGCCATTCTGGCCACCACAGATATATGTAGAAGTCCCAAACACACATTTTCCACGCAAAGTTGGGCTATAAACCATCAGAAACACTAAGCAGTGGCGTATCTAGCTACTGAGCTTAATTGCTTTGTTTCACAGTTGCAGGTAGTCTGCACCTTCAAGTTAGTGGTCTTGCTTCAGTGTTGCCCCATGGTATACTTATTGCTGAATTAGAAGAGTCTTTCCTTAGTTCCTGACCTCAGTTGCCTCTCTGATACCTGAATTGCATCAGTGATGACATCATAATCTAGTTCCATAAGCACACAAACACAACCTTATACCATATTGACGGCTACACGTACCTATATGCTTCCAGCTGACATCCATAGCACACAACACAATTCATTGTCTATAACTACCCCCTAAGACGGGGGGCCACAAACTCATTAGGGCCTGTGGGACATTTGATACTCTAAAACTGTTAATGGGCACTACAGAGTACCTAGTTTGCACAGAAGAAAGCTGCTGGTGCTCAGAAGGCCACCCCCCCCCAAAAAAAATAGCCATCTCCCAAAACAAATAAAAGACAAGAAGCAAGCGCACACACAAAAAACCCCAACCACACAACCTCCCCAAAGCAACAATGACAATCCACAAACCTTTAAAATTAATAATAATAATGATGATGATGATGATGGAAGGAGGCCTTGGCAGGCACCAAGGGGGATGGTGGAAGATGCCATAATGGCCTAAGATACAGCTCCAGTCCTTCAGGCAGAGACTGGCAGGATTTACATCAAGCATTATTGGAACTACAGTACTGGCTTGAGCTACAGTACAGCAGCACCCACACACCCCAGCCACACTAAAGGGGGTTGGATTGGGCGGAAGCATCCAGTTTCACTCTGCCAGCACAGAACTGCCTGTTCTGCCTGCTGACTAGGTGAACGGAAATGGCACGATAGCAGGATCCTTGCCAGCAGCAATCTGCAGAGAATTGCAAACTTGGGCTTCCAGGGAGGGGCTGAGGCAGCCTGGGATCTGCAGGCTCCCAAGCTGCTCCATCTTGCAGTCACTAGATGGCAACACGCGCAATCCCGACTGGCACACCAATTTGCCTGCCTTCTCCCCAGGCCAGCATCAGCGCACTGCTCTCCCGCCAGGTTTGGAGTATAGTGTTGATTTCCTCCATTGGTTATTGAGTATTAACATTTTATATGGAACAGACACCCTTGGGAGGTGGTTGACTCTCCTTCCTTGGAGGTTTTTTAGCAGAGGTTGGATGGCCATCTTTCATGGATGCTTTAGTTGAGATTCCTGCATTGCAGTGGATTGGGCTAGATGACCCACAGGGTCCCTTCCAGCTCTATGGTTTTATGAAGTGTCTGATTTGTGCTTGTGTCTGTGCATTTATCCTTTTGCCCAGACACAGTCTGGTTTGGTCTGTCAAGAGTTTTCCTTTGTCCATACTACTGGTAGTCTTCACCCTCTTCAAGATATACTTGTGAGTTGCTTGGTGTCCTCATATTCTATTTGATACATAGGCAGTGATGTAACAGCTGTTTCTTAGTACATATATTACATGATGTGTCACAATGCAAGAGGTGGCTTTTCTTTCATTTCCTCATTCCATGCAGCTATTTCTCTTTTTAAAATTCTGTTTACTTAAAAACTTGACCAGGCTGCAGCCCAGCAGTTGTTACTGGTGTGGCATAGGTACAGAGAGCATAATCCTACAGATCTATAGGCAGAAATCAGTAGAAATGATATTAAAGCTCACTTTTTTTTGGTATGACTGCATCATACAGTCTTTCCTTCCACTGCCAAAAATAGCTTACAATCTCTTTACTACATGTAGTTCCAAGTATTGTGATGTAAATAATATGGGGACGGACAGAGACAGGAAGGGTAACTGAATTGTAATGGGAAAACAGCCAGTGCTTTTCTATTTGTATTAATTATATAACAGAGTTTTAAAAGATGCCATGTTCATGCCGCATTTCATTAAGATCGTTCATAGTGGGTTACTGCCGTATGTGTTCTCAAATTGTCAATCTTTTACTCAGCTAGAAACAAATTCAAGCTTCTTCCTGGATAGCAGACAAATAGCTTTCCAGGTCAATGAAGCATTAGTTCATCTGTGTTGTGTTTGAGCTTACGATGCAATTAGGTGAAATTACAATGGCTTGTAATATCAGATTTCTGTTGGACTATGACTAACGTTGGATATCACTGTGCATGCCTTCGCTTGTTAAAAACTTGCAGAAGCTTATTGGAGCAGACTAGATGTGCAACTAGATGTGTTTGCAATCTATGTATTAGCTACAAACACACTAATAACTTGTGTACCAAGGGATTTTTGGCAGGAAATTGAAAATTGAGATTTGGTCACTCCAGTGGGTTTCTCAAAGTTTACGGCAACTGTACCAAAAGTTCTAATAAATGTTGACTAGGAACATAAGAAAAGCCCCCCAATGCACAAACCAAAGACAGTACAGGTAAAATATAGTCACCATTGCTAAGAAGCCATTTATAGCTTTATGATCCATGAATTTTAAGCCCTTTAAGCTTGTGGGATCACTTTAGCCCATACACGTTGTAAGAAATCCATATTTTAGTGTGGCAGGGCCTGCCCTATAGAACTCCCTGTCTATTGACATCAGGGAGGCGACTCTGTTGTACTACTGTCTATGCCTTCTTAAAACATGTTTTTATTTAGTCAATTCTATTGAGACCTGTAGGTGTTGATGTGCTTTCATCTATTTTACTGTTAATTTTAATTATCTTTATTTTTTATTGATATTTTTAATTTTTCTTGTAGATCACTTACAGCTTGGCAGTATATGCATTTTGTTAAGTAAAACGCATTTTGTCTAATCCTCTTTTAAAAGTCATCCTGTTTGGTGATCATCACTATGTATTGGGAGAGCGAATTCCATAACTATGCACTGTGCAAAGTGATAATTCCTAGCACAAATGAATGAAATCAGGGTCCTTAGTAATTTGGAGTGGATCTACTCTAAGAAGCAGTAATTAACATCACTATGCTAGGCAACAGAAGCCAGCCACGTTAAAGGAAAGCTCTCAGTGCTCTTAACTCTGTGCGGACCACCGTGGGGTTTATCTGATTCTAAAAACTTTTCATTTCCCCACATACAAACCCCATCTTGAAATCATTGCAAACCCCATCTTGAAATTGCCCTGTGAGTATAATTGCGTTTGCTGGGATTTCTTCATTCCCATTTTGGACAGGGATAGAGTCAGGGTGAATGGGTGCCATAAAAACTAAGGTGTGAAAAGCATGGCTGCATAACCATTCAATCTAGGTGTTATTTCAGATTCTTTCTTCAACTTATTTTCCCTTACAACCTGTCCCGAACCTCTTGGAATGTGGGGAGGGGGATGGGAGTGGGGGGAGGGAGGAAGAGTTCTTGTGTAATGTTTCCTGCTCGCTCTTTTAGTCCGCAGCTGGAGAAATGCTTTTGGCAGAGTGTTGTATGTGTGTTTGGCTGTGTATTCCTGCTTAACTAAATCAGGGGTCAGCAAACTTTTTCAGCAGGGGGCCGGTCCACTGTCCCTCAGACCTTGTGGGGGGGTGGACTATATTTTTGGGGGGGAAATGAATGAATTCCTATGCCCCACAAATAACACAGAGATGCATTTATATAAAATGACACATTCTACTCATGTAAAATCACTCTGATTCCCGGACCGTCCATGGGCCAGATTTAGAAGATATTTGGGCCGGATCCGGCCCCCGGGCCTTAGTTTGCCTACACATGAACTAAATCATCCTGGGGAATACTACAGGCTTTTACTAAACCAGAATTGGGAATACATCCAGAACTGTCAATATTTTCTTGCTACTTCCAATTACTTAAGATTTGGTAAGAAAACGAGTGTTTCAACCACAATTTTAAGCGGTGTCTACTTCATATAGGTACCGTTTTGGTGGCTATATGTGTTGTCTTTGTTATAATGTGTTAGATTTACCTGATCATCAGCAAAAAGCAAACGCGTTTACAGACGTTGTTTGCCTTGTGTCTACAGTCCAATCTTAAAAGAACCAAATTCCTTGGATTTTTGCAGATTGCCTTCATGACGCTGACCCTGTTCCCTATCCGGCTGTTTTTTGCTGCTTTCATGATGTTGCTGGCCTGGCCTTTTGCATTCATCGCATCCATGGGACCTGCAGACAGAGAAATAGAAAAACCCCACTCCTGGTGGCGAAAGTAAGTCACTGAGCCCATTTGGGTTTGCTAACATCTACTTGGAGTATAATGCAAGAAGTGAAATTGGCACGGGTTACTAATTTAATATATTTCTCCTCATAGCGGTGAAACTGACATATTGCACAATAAAAACATTGTTTCCCCCTAACGATGAATCACTTGTATATTTAACCCCCAGTGGCAGCTGTCTGTACTGAAAAGCATCTTGGAAGAGGTGCTGGCATTAAGCAGAGAAGTAAGCTGGTGGGGGAGGAGGCAGCGTTAACCTTTTTGCAACCTTTTCCTTCTCTGCTACCTAACCTTCCTCTGGAGGTTCTGGGCAAGCATTTTTAAGACGAAGCACATTTCTGGAACCTCGCAAGGAGAAATGGGTAGGTGAGCTTTTGCAGGAGGAAAAAGGGTTAATCATTCGTGCTTCTCTCACAGCTTCTGTGCTGAAGCTCGCCCACCCCACCCCCTCTTGAAGCTGGTTTTTGCTACAGAGAGCAGCTATCAGGATTTAAATAGGTGCAATGTGAATGTGAACGCTTTATTTCTCCTGGCTGATGTGCGTTAAGTTCAGTGTCTGCCCTGATTCTTTTTCACTGCGTCCCCATTTGCATAAACTGCTTAACTGCTTTATTTGGTACCCGAAGGCGAGTTGCCGGAAGTGTTTACAAGATCTTGAGGGTGCTGCTTCTTCTGGAAGAGTTTCCATTATCTCTACGTGCTGTGCTGTGCAATGTTAATCCCAGGATTAACGGAGGGTACATCTGATTGGTTAAAAACACAAGAGAGTTGCTGAGCAATGCTGTCTTTCTGTACCCATGAATAGTCATGAGAAACAACAATATCGAAAACCGTGCCCTGTTATCTCCATGGGATGGTTTGTCAGCTTAGAAAAGTACCGTATTTTTTGCTCTATAAGACTCACTTTTTCCCTCCTAAAAAGTAAGGGGAAATGTGTGTGCGTTTTATGGAGCGAATGCAGGCTGCACAGCTATCACAGAAGCCAGAACAGCAAGAGGGATTGCTGCTTTCACTGCGCAGCGATCCCTCTTGCTGTTCTGGCTTCTGAGATTCAGAATATTTTTTTTCTTGTTTTCCTCCTCCAAAAAACTAGGTGCGTCTTGTGGTCTGCTGCGTCTTATAGAGCGAAAAATGTGGTACCTGAAAGGGGAAGGGAACTGGTTAAATGTCTCGTCCTGACAGGTGCCTGTAGTGGTATTCCCTGGAGAGATATCCACACAGCGTTTGTAAATACTTCTTCAGCTGTGGCCAAAGAAGTTGCAAGCCTTTCCCCAGCATGTTGTTCCTTTTTCTCTTAACCCAAGCCATGCTTTGTGGGGCAGGAAAGCTTAAAGGCACTGCAGCTTCAAGTTGCAAATAAATGTAGCAAGGAGGTTATATAACAGCTCACAGAATACTAAAATTTATATCTTTAGGCACCAGGCGAAAACATTTCTCTTTAACCAGAACTTTGGCTGATTAACATTCTATGTCCTTTTAAATGGAAGGGGGTTATTGGTTTCTTTTTGTTTTTATTATGCATCCTTTGTTCTCTTTTTTGTGAACCGCCCCGTGATCTTCAGATGAAAGGTGGTATACAAATTTAATAAACAACAACAACAAATTTCCTCTGCCTGAATTGTTGGGAGTGTACATCCAAAGTTAGTTCATTTCAGATTGTGCCCATTAAAATTAATGGACATAATTAACTTAGGACCATTGATTTCAGTGGGCCTAACATAACTTGGATAAAACTCTTTTGAGTTTATAGAAAACCAATATTGTCTTTATAGTTGGAGTGTGTACCCATCTTAGGATATCATCATAATTGGAGATGATAGCTCAATAATTATAAACTATCCTACAGCTAGCTGGGGGAGAATGAGCAGAGAAAAATAGTCACCCATGACCATTGGCATGAGCGTCTATTAAATGAGAGTGCACTCTGTGGATATATTTGTTTTGGGTTGTTGTTTTTGCCTGCTTTGGCCCACCCTCTGTGATGTCCACTGATGATGATAGACAGGTGACAGGCTGCCTTTCTAAAGAGACAGTTTGTACCTGTTCTGCAGTGATGCTCCCTTCGACCTTTTTTTTTTCTCCCCCTTTTTGAAATTTTATTAATTTCATTATTTGTACATTCTGTCCATGTTTTAACACTTCTCATACATTTTGGACTTCCTTCAGCGTCATTGACATTCATTCGTATTTATATCTTTAAATCACATTCCATCTTTTCATATTGCCATTCGTTCCTCCCTTTGTGTACTATTTCTATTAAACAATACTTGTTAGTTCTTTACAGTGCCTCTTTAAATCCCACTAGCGTTGTATTTACAAAACATTTGTTCTCCAGATAACCCACAAATTTCCCCCAGTCTTCAATAAATTTTTGATCCTTAGCGTATCTTATTTTCCCTGTTAATTTGTCCAGCTCGGCATATTCTAACAGTTTTGCTCTCCACTCTGCAACCGTTGGGATTTCTTCCTGCTTCCACCTTTGAGCTACCACAATTCTGGCAGCCGTTACCGCATACTGGAAGAGTTTACAATCTTTTCTCCTGATGTCCTTTCCAACAATACCTAATAAAAAGGCTTCTGGCTTTTTTACAAAGGTATAACTTAACATCTTTTTCATTTCATTGTAGATTTCGTCCCAGAAGCTTTTAACTTTCTTACACTCCCACCATTGATGATAAAAAGTCCCTTCCTTTAGTTTACATTTCCAGCACTTGTTGTCTACCTTATACATCTTAGCCAATTTTACAGGTGTCAGATACCACCTGTATAGCATCTTCATCACATTTTCCTTAAGTAACATACAAGCCGTAAATTTTATATTCACTTTCCATAACTTTTCCCAGTCCTCCAATTGCACATTATAACCGAAATCCCTTGCCCATTGTACCATCACTGACTTCACTTCCTCATCCTTCAAGTTCCACTCCAGCAGTATCTTATACATTTTTGAGAGGTTTTATATTCATTGTTTATTATCTCTTTTTGAAATATCGATTCTTTTTCCTGATAGCCCCTTTCCTTCACCTCTTTTTTGAACATCTCATTTATCTGGAAGTAGTGCAACCAGTCATATGTAAATATTTTAACCTGATCGTATGATTTTACTTTCCACTTCCCTCCTTCATTGATGACCATTTCTCCATACTTCCCCCACTTTTCTCTCATATTGACTTTCTTTACACTTATTATCTCCAGCGGAGACAACCAGTGTGGGGTTTTTGGCTCTAATATGTTTTTATATGCTCCCTTCGACCTTTTGGCGTAAGGTGAAGTAAAATCTGCCATGGGGTTGTTGATGGAAGTGGTTAAACTGGAACCTATTTACCGTATTTTTTGCTCTATAAGACTCACTTTTTCCCTCCTAAAAAGTAAAGGGAAATGTGTGTGCGTCTTATGGAGCGAATGCAGGCTGTGCAGCTATCCCAGAAGCCAGAACAGCAAGAGGGATCACTGCTTTCACTGTGCAGCGATCCCTCTTGCTGTTCTGGCTTCTGAGATTCAGAATTATTTTTTTTCTTGTTTTCCTCCTCCAAAAACTAGGTGCGTCTTGTGGTCTGGTGCGTCTTATAGAGCGAAAAATACGGTAACTACATTTGAACTCCCTGACATAACAAAACCGTGTTAAAACACAATCAGAAAACAAGGAAGCAACGTGCTTTTTAAAAGAAACTCTTATTTCCCAGTTTCCTTGGAAATAGCTTATGTAGTTAATCATGTTCAAAGGGACAATGCTGCATTAACACGTCTGCATTTGTGCTGTCTTATTATTTTCAGGTTTGTGGATGTCATGCTGAAGGCCATCATGAGGACCATGTGGCTTGCTGGGGGATTCCACTGGATCAATGTGAAGGGCAGGCAGGCCTTGCCCACTGAAGCAGCAATATTGACTCTGGCTCCGCATTCCTCGTACTTTGATGCTATACCTGTAACAATGACCATGGCCTCCATTGTCATGAAAGCAGAAAGCAAAGATATTCCTGTTTGGGGAAGTAAGTCAAAGAAAGCTTTACTTTCAAATAAGGGCCACGGCGATTTATTTCTGGAACGGAACGTATTCTTGGAATGTGGGAACCACCGCAGAAAAGGGCCCCTTCCTGGTTGCTGGCAGAGGAATATTTGCAGCTTGTGAGAAAACTAGGAGGGTCTCTGGTAATGACCGTAGGGGCCAGACAGGTAACACACTCCTGAGTTGCTTTGATCAAAGCTGAAACCTGGCTTGGCAGCAGATGGCGGGCAGTTCAGTTCTTTCAACAAAGGTGCTACATGACAGCAGCTTGACACATCGCTCAACAACCTACCCATGGCACTCTTTGCTTGTGCCAGCTTCTAGGCCACACATACGAGCAGCTAAACATAGAGTGCCTATCAGTATGCCCCTTCGCCACCCCACCAGGTGTTTTCGCAATGTTTCCATTTCTTAATTTTATGTTCCTTCCTTCAGTAAGCACTGCGTTCACATACATTCGATTAGTCCGTTTTATCTTTGGCAGTCATACAGTGAGGTGAACCAGATAGAAAGATAGCAACTTGCCCAGGTTATCCAGCTGAGAATTTTCTGCATGCACACTTTTAAAAGTCTCATAGAATCATAGAGTTGGAATAGACCACAAGGGCCATCGAGTCCAACCCCCTGCCAAGCAGGAAACACCATCAGAGCACTCCTGACATATGGTTGTCAAGCCTCTGCTTAAAGACCTCCAAAGAAGGAGACTCCACCACATTCCTTGGCAGCAAATTCCACTGTCGAACAGCTCTTACTGTCAGGAAGTTCTTCCTAATGTTTAGGTGGAATCTTCTTTCTTGTAGTTTGGATCCATTGCTCCGTGTCCGCTTCTCTGGAGCAGCAGAAAACAACCTTTCTCCCTCCTCTATATGACATCCTTTTATATATTTGAACATGGCTATCATATCACCCCTTAACCTCCTCTTCTCCAGGCTAAACATGCCCAGCTCCCTTAGCCGTTCCTCATAAGGCATCGTTTCCAGGCCTTTGACCATTTTGGTTGCCCTCCTCTGGACATGTTCCAGTTTGTCAGTTTACAATGAAACATGCCAAAACATGTTAAACAATGTGCAACTTCAGTAAAATAACAATTAAAAACACACACTAAAGCTCAGGTTGATGACACTTGTCATCAAAGTTGCTGATGTGTCTGCAAGAATAAAAAAATGTTTCTACAGGGTGCCAAAATGGTAGCAAAGTTGGTGCCAGCCAGATCTCCTTTCTCGCACTATGCACAATGCCCCACTAACTCTTTCTTAAGGAGCCAGCACTTCTATTGCGATATCAGGAGGAGTGTAATGCGGGGCCATGGGGGAGGCTAAACATGATGTAGCCCTACATTTATTTCAGTAGCATCCAAGGGAGTTCAATAGCAAAAGGTTGAACTTTCATCACTACTCTGTACCTACAAAGTTTTTGTTAGTTCAAATGTAACTCCGTAGTTACAAAACAAGGAAGTGCCAAAACAAACCACAGATTTTCCCCTGATTGCGTTGTGTATTATGTAGCATGATGTGGCATCTTAAAATGAAGAAAGCAAAACCTCTGTGGGAGAGAGTTGGTATGGAGTGAAAAGGTCACCCCACCCCTGTCCCTCACTAACTGTTTGCTCTTTATTTCCCTCTCCTGCTTCCAAAAGAAAAGAAAAAAAAAAAGAACCAGGGCACATGTGCATATAATTAGTTCCTTGACTTTTTTACATTTGTGTTTTGAAAACATGGATAAGTTGAGGGAGGAAAGAAAATGATTTTTGTGTCACTTTGCCTGGCTGTAGTGCTTTTCATCTTGCAGCTATTGCATTTATGAATTTGTGTATGTATGATTTTTGTCTGGCTGTGCGTGTAAATGGGTGTATTTAACCTGCTTTTGCCCATTTATAAATGGATTGCTAGACATTCTTTACTCTGCTTGTGTTGCAGAATATCACTGTGGAGGATTATGCATTGGGTGAACTCTTGGTCTTCCTCTTCTCTAGACCTAAAATTCAGTGGGATGATTTTTGTTGTTAACATTTTGCCATTCTATTGCTGCTTTTTTGTACCTCTGAGGGAGTTGCATACACAGCCCTTTAACCATGTGTGCATGACCTACATAAATATAGGAATTTAGTCTGCTGGTCATCTGTCTTAAATAAACTTGGAAGTTTCTGGAGATTCAGCTCAGTGGCAGATTGTGGGACTTGATTTTTTTACCACTGTTGGTGGTATATTTAATTCACTTGAATATTTAATTCACTTGAAACTTTGAGGGGCATGGAATCATTAAAAGCAGGGAGAGCACCTGCTATGAAATGTGACATGTATAATTTCACTAGTGTTGTTTGGGAGTGGGAGACGGACCCTTCAACAGGTAGCAAAGATCAGGCTGTCCAAAGAGAATTTAGCTGCTTCCCTCCATCATTTTCCAAAGTTTGCAATAGTTTCCATGAAAACTATTGCAATGCAGTAAGGCATTGCTGCTGCTGAGTGATAAACGTCAACAATAAATTTCAGCATACCACCAACCTGTCTAACATAGTATCTAATAATGAGCTCTAAATGGCTGAAACCTCAAATCTACAACGTTCCCACCACTTTCCTTATCTGGGGTTGGATATGTGATTAAGGATAACCTGTTTGTACCGCTAGGAGTGATCTGAGAGAGGTAGAATTGCTCCAACCCCAACCTTTCCACTTAAAACCCAGGGGCTTCTCTTATGCCAACTGGATTTTTTTAGTTGTGTGAATCGCACAACACAATTCAAGATCCTGTGGTACTATAGGAGTGTAGTCAGATGCTCTTGTCAGATTATTCATGTGGCTGGGGAAAGAGTAATCTCACAACCGTGTATATTTAGAACACTGAGGTGATGACACGCAGCTTGTCATATGCATTTGAGGTGATGAGCAGCGTTCACAATGACCCCAGGGAAAGTGAGCTAGAAATGCAGACTCCCTAGCAGACGTCTAGCAGTGTCTCCTTTGAAAAGATCCCTCCCATTATTTCAAGACTGTCAGTCATTATGATAGTTATTGTTCTTAGGAGCTTTTCCTGAAAGGAACAAATAATTTGATTGGCTTTGAATGCAGGCCAAAATGGTTCTAGACTGGCTATAAAAGTTATAAATGTGATGTATTGCATTGCATGGATTTTATTATTCCTTATCACTATTTCAGTATTACCGTATTTTTTGATCTATAAGACTCACTTTTCCCCTCCTAAAAAGTAAGGGGAAATGTGCGTGCGTCTTATGGAGCGAATGCAGGCTGCGCAGCTATCCCAGAAGCCAGAACAGCAAGAGGGATTGCTGCTTTCACTGCGCAGCGATCCCTCTTGCTGTTCTGGCTTCTGAGATTCAGAATTTTTTTTTTTGTTCTTGTTTTCCTCCTCCAAAAACTAGGTGCGTCTTGTGGTCTGGTGCATCTTATAGAGCGAAAAATACGTAGATATTCTGATTCTCTCTTTGTTTGAACTTTACACGAGTGTTAAACTCATATCCCATCCCATTTGTAAGAAATAAACAACTGTCCTGTCTACCTTCAAACAGGATCAAGCTAACTGAGGCAATTTTAGAAATAAGAAAAAGCATGGGAGGTAGTTTTAGTTTATGTTTTAAAGGGGCACTTTCAGTTTAAAGTATTCATAAGTGGGTGAGTGTATTTCTCAATAAATGCAGGACTATATTTTATTTTAAAATGTTTCTTAATGTGTTCTGCTAGTTGCTCCCGCCCCCCAATATAGCATATTTTGTTATGAAATGTGTTTGCTCATAAAACTACTGATTGTTTCTCTATATAGCATGTCATACACTTATGCTAATCTAAAGAAAAATGAAGGAATATACTTAGGAATACGGACATTTCTGTTTCTTTCCAGCTCTAATCAAATACATTCGACCCGTGTTTGTATCTCGATCAGATCAGGATTCCCGCAGGAAAACTGTTGAGGAGATAAGGCGGCGTGCTCAGTCAAATGGCAAATGGCCACAGGTACTGGTAGAACGTCTTGTGATTTAAAGGTATTTGTTTTCTGTAAAGGAATATCTATTTCCACCTAAAGAGATGCTATTTCTGTTCAAAAGTAGACACACACACTCCTCAGGTTTCAGTTTCTACTATTTGTGGGGCTAACGTTCACCTGAGTTGTGAATTCTTTCGAATTCTTCAGGTTTTCCTCCAGCTGTTCCTCTTGATTGGTACCACATCTGGGAAAAGGTGGGGGGAAATCCTTTGTTGGATGATACCATGGTGCATTTAACCCATTATTCTGTTTCTAACAGCCAAACATCTATGGGTGTTCACAAAGAAGGCATGAAGGTGACAGCCCTCCCTAGTTGTTGCCAAGGAGGATAAAATCCATGATGTTAAGTTGTGGGTAGACATATCAGACAACACAGCGATTCTTCAAACAGCTCTTCTTTATTCACAGGCCAAAACAGACCTGAACTGAAGGGTTCAGTCAGCCTGCTTATATAGCGCTCCAGTACAACGTAACTGTAACAATATTCTAATACTATCCAATCACTCAACGTCACTTTTGATCCCTTATTTGCATAACTATCTACAGTATCCCCCTGCTGGCCCAGGGTGAGAACTTCAGTACATAACACATGACTTGCTGTTAATTTAATTATGTTTGACATGTGAAACAATCCTAATACATTAAGGAAGCAATCCTGTGGGAAGACCCCGTGCCACCTTAACTCCCTCACCATCAGCTCAGCCAGAGATAGGCTACCTATATCTCCCTCTTCCAACCTCAGCCCTTAGCAGTACAGTTTCCTTTTCCTCAATCCTGATCCTAGTGTCAGTCATTCTCTTATAGAGTTATGAAAGATGGGGGAGGGGGGAAGTACTTTCTCAAGACGAGTTCTGATTATATAAACATCCATCACGTTCCGCTTAATCACCTCTCCTTTCTTTCCTCAACTAAAAAACAAACAATTGCTTAACGAATAGTGAATTCGCCTCTTGGCAATTTGCTTACCCCTTCGAAGCGTTTTCAAATTGTGCGATAGCACTTTTGAGAAGAAACAAGTACATAACATCGAAATGTCACCGCAGCATAAATTTGGGTAATGCTATTTTAACGTTGAGTTCTATTCCTAATAATTTTCCAGTGCTGAGTTCGTTGCTGCTTAGGAATCTCTTAAGCTGTGCATAGATAAGTTTTCCTCCTGCCATAGAGGAAATCATCTTAATCTTCACCTCTTCTTTGTTTGTGGGCACCATGCTGGTGAAGGAATAACACCCCATGGTGCCCCCTTCTACCCTTTGCTGCTATGTGTGAGAAACTTTAGTGCCTTGATTTTAAAAGAACAGGGTTTCCTACTACTAATATTGTTCAACTTTTATTGAGTACTGATGGTAAGTACAGTAAGAACATAGAACTTTAAAGTAATGTAAAGCTGGGGGAAAGCTGAATCTGGCAATTTCGGTGTGGATTAGTTCCCCTTCTTTGAATATATGAGCAGGGAGGTATCTTCCAGTTTCTCTTTCTTCATTAAGGTTCAGGTATTTAAATACCACCTGATATTTAGTGAAGTATTGTTGGAATTTGGTTATACAGTACTGCTTTGCTGTTTTTATTTTATTCCACAACCCTGTTACTTTCTTTTTCTTTTTTGCTTACTTGTTTTCCCCCCTGTATCTACACGTTTTCATATGCAACAGTAAAATTCAATAAAAAGTGTTTTAGAAAAAGAAAACAAGTGGTGTAATCCAGGCTTCAGAAGTCTTGGAGCCAGTGTGGTGTAGTGGTTAAGAGCAGTAGTCTCGTAATCTGGGGAACCGGGTTCACATCCCCGCTCCTCCACATGCAGCTGCTGGGTGACCTTGGGCTAGTCACACTTCTTGGAAGTCTCTCAGCCCCACTCACCTCACAGAGTGTTTGTTGTGGGGGAGGAAGGGAAAGGTGAATGTTAGCTGCTTTGAGACTCCTGAAGGGGAGTGAAAGGCGGGATATCAAATCCAAACTCTTCTTTTTCTTCTTCTTGGAGCCTACATAATTTAAAAGGCAATAGATGAGGAGGTCATCGTTTGCTTCATGCGTGATTAAAGGAGAAAAGAGTTACCCTCCTTGTGATGAACACAAGGGTGGGGGGGTGGAGGAACATTATATTATAACTTCTACCTCACTCATTGAGAGGGTATCTGGCCCTCAGTGTTTGCAGTTCCAAATGGGAGAGTGCTTCAAAGATTCCTGGGCTGCGTTCCATACATTCTTTCATAGATCACACTCCATTTGGAGAACACCTTAGGGAGCAACCTGAATGCCTTCTTGAAATCAGATACCTGTGGTGAATTATTTATTAAACGCTAGCAGCGTTTAAAGCAAAGCGAATTTGAATGCTTCTAAATTCTGAGCTTGCATTGTACTTAAAGATGCAGAAGATGTACCAAAATAACTTGTAATAGAGGGTTTTTTTTCTGTTTCTGTTTTAAGATTATGATATTCCCAGAAGGAACATGCACTAATCGATCCTGCCTAATTACCTTCAAGCCTGGTAGGTATGATGTACATTCTTCTTTACCTATGTAACATCAGTATAACTTCAGATTTTGAAATTCGGTGTTCATGATTGCCTGTGGCCACTTCAGATGTTACAAGAGGTGTGTCCTCCCAACCCCCATTAAGGGCAACCTTTGCCTTTTCTGAAACTTTGGTATGCCAAGAAACCTAGGATTCTCTGTCTGTTTGAATGAATGTTGAGTTAACTGTCGTAACTTGCAATCCAAGTACGTGCAAAAAACCCACCCATCTGAAGTACCTTCTTCATACATAGGTCTGGAAATCAAAGTGCATCACTGCAAACATGTGTTGACCATTTCCTGGAAAATGCTGAAGGCAAATGAAGGTGTTTCCATCTTCAAATCTAATTATTTAGTTCAGGACAAACAAACAAACAAACAAGCAAACAGGAACCTGAAATAGGATATTCAGTCAGTTCATCATTCTCTGTATTTTGTCCAGTCTTGACACTTGCTGACTTTCATCTGGTGTGCATCAGGGCTCCTTCAGGATATTATGTGGTCTAGAATGTTCAAACCTAAAACCTCTCTATAGCAAAATAATCTCTCTCTTTTTTGAGGATTACTGCCATTAGCTCAGTTCTCTTACTGTTTCCTATGGAATTCACAAAAAGTTTCCAAGTAAGTTCAGAGAGACTTCCTTGCAGAAAAAGAAGCTGGAACTCTCGTGGTTTTGGTAGGTGAAGGGGCAATGTTGGAACGAGTTGTTTTTGTATTTCTAATGTAATAGTCAGAGACATCATTGGATTGTTCCTTCCATGCTTCAGTGTCTTCATTTCATAGAATTGTAGAAATAGTAAATGGAAATTATTCTCTTTGCCAAATACAAAGGGTAGGGGTGTTTTGCTTGTACCACAAATTGCAGAGATAAGGTTATCTTACCATGTTTTGCATTCTCTAAAGTTTAGTCAACATATTGGATAATGAGAGATTTATGGTAATACCTTGTGCCCTTTTCATTCCTGATTTGATGCCAGGACTTTTCCTCAGATATGTACTGGTATGGCTCTTGTGTTGTGCAGCACTTTGCAATCTTTTCCCCAGGATATGTGTATTTGCATGACCTCTGGTTTTCTAATCAGGTGGATATCATCCTGTTCTGTACCTGAATAATTTCATGTTGATGGCACATGTACGAATCCATGCATACTTAGGAGCTGTGCAACAGAATAATGAGTAAAAGAATCCATGAGTGAAGATTTGAATCATGTGGAGAATACTACCTTCAGTCTGAGTCCAAACATATATTTTCCTATTGCATTTAAGGATGTACTGCTAATATTCAGTAGTATTAGAGCTTGGCAGTTTGTAGAATGGAGCTTCTAGTGCTAATCTGTCAGAGCCTTCTAGAAAAGATTGCTTCAGATTGTGTAAATGTCTAGTCCAGTTTTCTGTGACCAGGTGTGTATGTTTGATAGGAGATCTTCATTTCAGAGATCTTCCCTAGAAAATACAGTGGTACCTCTGGTTAAGAACTTAATTCGTTCCGGAGGTCCGTTCTTAACCTGAAACTGTTCTTAACCTGAAGCACCACTTTAGCTAATGGGCCTCCCTGCCGCCGCCAGGAGCACGATTTCTGTTCTCATCCTGAAGCAAAGTCCTTAACCCGAGATACTATTTCTGGGTTAGCGGAGTCTGTAACCTGAAGCGTCTGTAACCTGAAGCGTTTGTAACCCCTAGGTACCACTATACAAGTTTGTGTCACCTTCCCTGATGTCAAGATAGAGAGAGCAAGGAATGTTTAAAGAATTACCAACACCTTGCGGGCTCCCTTAGTGAAAGAAGCCTTGACCTGGGTTTCTGGTTCAACAGGTTCCTCTAGTCCATGAGTAAACAATAGTTACTATCATCTGTACCTGTGGGAGATAGGGGTGGAATGAGAGGTTGCTGCTCAGGGCTTCAAACAAAAATCCCAAAGGCCTCTTTCCCTGAAGCCTTGGCAGAGTGCATCATCAGGCTTAGAGAGATTCATATGCCGGGCTGCAAAATCGAGAAAGCACAATAGCTCAACCTTTTCGGAAATGGAGACATCTAACTTTGTAAATGTTGGTGAAAATAGCCCCAGATTGACCATAGAGTTGGGAAAGAACTGGGTGTCCAGGAAAGATTTTGATTTATTGCTATCTTCGGTAGTGGATGAAAGTGCAAACAAACAAGACCAGAAGTGTTGAATGTTTCAGTTATCATTCCTTTCTTGTTCCTAGTTAGAGATTTGAGTTGATTCTAGAGTCTTCTTCCACTCCAGAAGAGTGGAAGAACAATGTAGATTGTTTTCACACACCTTATTATTGGTTGCTGTTCGTTGGCTTATAACACGAGAGAGAGGTTACAAGGCAGGTTTTCCTGTTTAAAAAGAAAATGTTTGTCTTCATCAGGGAAGGCAGTCAAACCTTGTGGTGGAACATTTTTTCTATTTCTGTCAATTTCCTGGAAATATACAAATATAAGTTGCGTAGGATTTGACAGCCCTGAGTTCTTTCCAATTAGGTACTTCTGAAAAATTGCTGGCTATTAGTTGTTTTGACTAACTATCCATTCTTCCTGTGTCATCTTACCTGGAATGAAATATCCTGCTTATCAAAGGATTGGAATTAAATTGAATGAATCATACTAATGCTTCCAATGTAATACAAAGTTTTTCAGGAAGTAAGCTGCTGGGAATAAGTCACAGTGGTATACCATAATAGTAAACCTCTGAAGATGGCACATTATGTTCACTTGCAGGGAGAAGCTTGGACTATTTATTATTTGGGCAGGGAATAATCAGGAATCTATTTATCTTTAGATGCTTGAATTACTATGTTGCTGAGTGTTGTTGCTTAACCTTTAAAAATAAATTATAGTTGCATCTTTTTTGGCTACTTGGGAAGGTGGAACTTCAGAGCATATCATCCAGAAAAGCCAGCTGTTACATAACAGAAATGCGCATGCAATACCTTCAATGCTCACAGTGTCATTAATTGGTGGTAATTAGAAAGTATTGTAATTATATGTATCCCGTATATCTTGTAGGAGCATTTATCCCTGGAGTGCCTGTCCAACCTGTGATTTTACGTTATCCAAACAAACTGGTAAGCTCTGAGTAAGCTTTTATGCCAAATACATAAAGGTATTAAAGGACCCCTGACCGTTAGGTCCTGTTGCGGACAACTGTGGGGTTGCAGCGCTCATCTCGCTTTATTAGCCGAGGGAGCCGGTGTACAGCTTCCGGGTCATGTGGCCAGTATGACTAAGCCGCTTCTGGCAAACCAGAGCAGCACACGGAAAAGCCATTTACCTTCCCGCTGGAGCAGTACCTATTTATCTACTTGCACTGGTGTGCTTTCAAACTGCTAGGTTGGCAGGAGCAGGGACCGAGCAACGGGAGCTCACTCCGTCACAGGGATTTGAACCGCCGACCTTCTGATCGGCAAGCCCTAGCTCAGTGGTTTAAACCACAGCACCACCCGCATCCCTATGCCAAATACATATATGAACCTTAAGTAGTTGTCTGAAGTATATTCTCAAACTTTTTTTTGAAAAGCAGAATGATAGTAAATCAGGTGGGAGATGACATGGGCAACGATTGCCCTCTTGCTGTTTCTAAGATATGTACATTTGTTTCAAGACAAATGCAGCGTGGGTTGACTTATTTCCCCCCCAAACGGGAGAACATGAAGTATCCCCCAAAATAGTAAGTTACTCCTATGGTAGCTAGAAAGATGTAAATTTGATATGTGCACAGCCCATCTTTTCATCTAATAGATGATCTGTTAATCTCTCAATCTATTACTGCAGAATGCAAGATTTGTTTGCTAGTATCTCATTGTGGTAAACAAACTCAGTTCTACCTATGAGAAAGCAAAAGTGAGCTTGTGTCCTGTTATTCCTTTAACTGAAATGCTGCTTCTGTATCACTAGAGGGCACTGATAATTCCTTCGTCAGTATGTTGTAAATTGGAGGAATTCCTGAACCTACAATAAATTCATCGGCATTTCATTTAATGTCTTTCCCCCCTTCATGATTTACATATTGCCAAATGCCGTAGTAGACAAAATCCTTACAGGGATAATGAGATATAAATAGCCTACTGTCACATTTTTCAAAGCAATGCTGTGTTTGTGAAGCCTATTAACTGCTTAAATATTTTAATGTGTTTCTTTTGCTGCATAGGATACAATTACATGGACATGGCAGGGTCCAGGAGCGTAAGTCAGCTACATATTATTTGAATTACTAATTGCTTTAATTAATTGCTTTTCTTTCTGAGGACTAGTATGTTAAATAATGGGAAATAATGGGCACACGTCAGATTATCTTCCTGGCCAATTATTTTTTTTATGATCAAACAGGGTTTAATAAGTTCTTCAAATCCCAAATCACACTATTCCTGATTTGAATGAGTAGATTAGCCTTCCAATATATAACTTTTATCTATAGTGTTTGGAAGCATTTGAGCAATGGCCGTCTTGTTTCTCCTTAACTTTTTCATACAATTTCAGATTGATTAAGTATTTGAGAATGTTAAATCATAATTGATTTCAATATCATTCATAGCTAAGGTACTTAAGTTTACTGCGCATCAGTTTTGATATTTAATTGCCAAGTAGTGTTCACTTCCCATATTTTACAGAGGCCCATCTGCTTACACAACATAAATCCATTTGTGCAATGGGACTTCTTTTTCTTCCTGCTCCTCCAACTCCCCTCCCCCACAGACTCCCTGCTTCAGAGAGTCCCCCAACCCTTTAGAGCATATTTGGGGATGTGCGGGGGGTGGGAGGAGAGGAATGAGAAGTCCCATTGCATGAGCAAATGCCAGTTTGTACGATGCTGGATCTTACCCAAAGTTCATTTTCGTTTCTCTTTTGTAATGTTAATTATGGAACTAATAATCTTGTAAATTAAAACGAGCTTTTCATTTCTCTTTCAGGTTGAAAATTCTGTGGCTTACTTTGTGTCAGTTTCATAATTTTGTGGAAATAGAGGTTAGTACAAAGTTACCAGTGTTTTAGTCTGCAATCCTATGCTTTCATACTTGAGACAAAAAAACTACAACCTATTTTAACAGTATCCTTTAATGTGTGTGAATAGTTACAGATAGGTAGCCGTGTTGGTCTGCCATAGTCAAAACAAAAAAAATTCCTTCTGTTTCAGTGTATCTGAAGAAGTGTGCATGCACACGAAAGCTCATACCAAGAACTAACTTAGTTGGTCTTTAAGGTGCTACTGGAAGGATTTTTTTTTGTTTTGTGTGTGAATAGTTCAGCTCTTGAACAATGACTTCAAAAGAGTACCCCAATAAATAAAGACCCTGTACTGCAGGAGGAAAGCTTAACTTCATTTTATTTCTTTTTCGTTTCCCCACTTTGCAATAAGGAATAGCCAGTGCTATTTTTCTAGAGAGGTACCAAAACTCAGCCATGAACGCCTTCCCTGTTCTCTTACAATGGCAATGGCGCCTGATAAGTTGTGGGTGAACATATCAGACGACACAGCGATTCTTCAAACAGCTCTTGTTTATTCACAGGCCAGAACAGAACTGAACTGAAGGGTTCAGCCAGCCTGCTTATATAGAGCTCCACTAGAACGCAACAGTAACCATTTTCTGTAACTATCCAATCACTGAACGTCACTTTCAATCCCTTATTTGCATATGTGGACCTGAGTGAAAACTATCTACAGTATCCCCCTGCTGGGCCAGGGCGAGAACTTCCGTACATAACAGCGCCCACCTGAGAGGTGCCAGGACTGAGTTCTGGTTTCTTCCAGCTGAACAAAAACTCTGGGAATAGAACAAGTGCTTCCACTGGTCTTCACAAGTCCATGCATTGTTAACCTCGAGTTAGGTTACTGTAATGAGCTCTGTGTGGGGCTGCTGTTGGGTCTGGTTCAGAAACTCCAGCTGGTGCAGAATGCAGCAGCCAGATTGCTGGGGCAAGCTTCTGGTCGAGAACATGTCATGGCTGCCCATCTGCTACTGAGCCAGGCTCAAGCTTCTTATACTGATTTCCAAAGCCCTGAGCAGCTTTGGGTCCAGGATACCTGAGGTATCACCTGAACCCTTATAATTCCGGCTCTGTTACTGAGATCATCTTCAGGAGTGGCTCGGGTGAGTTGGTGAGGCTCGTTTGACAACAACAAGAAGTCAAGCTTTTTGTGTCATCAGCCCAGTCCTGTGGAACACCCTGCCAAAAGGGATTCAGAGGCACCTTCTGTGCCAACTTTTAAATGTCTGCTGAAAACAATTGAGAGCACATTCCCCACAATGGTCTATTGATGCTTGTTTTTTATTTCTTTTTGCTTTTTTAAACTATCTATTATTTTACTGTCTGGTTTTATGTTTTTTCTATTGTGATATAAAATAGATATAATAATAATAATAGAGGTCAATACATTATGGGCATATTTGGAGAGGGAATTAATGTCACTGATCACCGATAATGCTACTATCCGTATGCGGTGGTACTGATGACATTTGCACAGCCACATTTCATACCTGCAGTCCACTCTTAATGAGAAAAATGCAGTTTTTAAGACTTGCTGTTCTGAATGGTGGGAAAATGAGACAATTGACGCAGTTGGAAGCACAACGTAGAAGAAAGATGCCTAATCTGTATCCCACACAGCTGCTCATTTGTTGCACTATAAATATCATTTAGTTCCTTTAAAAAAAAACAAATTAATAAAAGGAGGGAGGTTGGAAACAAAAAAAACCTGAAATGTTGCTACTCCTTAATGATGTGTGTAAAAATTCAGCGTTGTGTTTTTATGTTTTTTGTTTTTGTATTTGCTTATGAACATTTGATCCTGTTACTGAGCTTAAAAGCAACATTATTAGTGTGTGTTTATACTTTTGCCTGTGAAATACGGTAACACGTTTGTGATGAAACCATTTTTTCTACTTGCAGTTCCTGCCTGTGTATATACCCTCTGAAGAAGAAAAGAGAAACCCATCTCTGTATGCAAATAACGTGAGACGGATCATGGCACAGTAAGTGAACTGCTGTCCAAATAGCACCATGATGGTATCTGCTTATTTAGACGTTTGTACTGAAATACAGTGGTGCCTCGCAAGACGAAATTAATTTGTTCCGCAAGTTTTTTCTTCTTGCGAGTTTTTCGTCTTGCGAAGCACGGTTTCCCATAGGAATGCATTGAAAATCAATTAATGCATTCCTATGGAAACCGACTTCAGGCCAGGTCCGGGGACAGTCTGTCCCCCGACCTCTTCTGAAGGCTGGGGGGGGACAAGGGCTTTTCTTCCCACCCCCAGCATTTTAAAAAAACCCGGGACAGCGGAGGGCTTCTCCGCTGTCCGGGGCGATCTTAAAATGCTGGCGGGCGGCATTTTAAGATCGCCCCGGGACAGCGGAGGACTTCTCCGCTGTCCGGGGCGATTTAAAAGCCCCTGGGAAGGCAGGCAGGGGGGAGCAAAGACTTTTTGAAGGCGGGCGGGGGGCGAAAGTCTTTGCTCCCCCCGCCTGCCTTCAAAAGCCCTCCGGGACAGCGGAGAAATGCACCGCCCGGGGCGATTTTAAACCCGCTGTCCCGGGGTTTTTAAAAAACCTCTCCGCCCTCCCGCCAGGCTTCGGAGCAGCCTTCCGAAGCCGGGCGGCGGGAGGAGGTGTCCCCCCCCACCGCCCGGCTTCGGAGCATCCTTCCGGGGAGGAGGTCTCCCCGCCCCTCCGCCAGGCTTCGGAGGAGGTCCGAGGACAGTGGGGAAGACGCGCTGCACTTTTTCGCTGTCCCGAAGATTTCCCTATGGGCTTTCGTCTTGCGAAGGAAGCCCATAGGGAAATTCGTTTTGCGAAGCGCCTCCAAAACGGAAAACCCTTTCGTCTAGCGGGTTTTCCGTCTTGCGAGGCATTCGTCTTGCGGGGCACCACTGTATTCTACTTATTTTAATGTGTGTGCTAACATTGTGGACATTGCAGAAAAAAATATCATATCAAACCTAACGAAAGCTGACTGCATCACAAGTGTGGACTGGAATCTGAACCTGTTTTTGGTGTGGAAATTACAACCCCGTCAATGACAAGAAAATCTGTTCCTTCTAAGATCTGACAAGTCCCTACTAGTGTCAACTTTGACTTGTCCGGGTTCATTTTCAGTCTATTAATCCTTAACTACCTGCTCACAACTTCCAAACAGTGATTTTATGGCCAATAGGGTAGCTGGATGTTTGGGGAAAGTTCCTCACTCCAAAACAGTGGGCGATCTCGCTCAGTGGCTTTATATAGATGATCAACAGGATTGGTGCCGATACTAATCCCTGTAGGACTACATAGACCAATTTTCAAGAGGTGAACAATCAACATCATTCCCAGCGACCATCCTCTATATCTGACTGGGAAAGAATACCAGAATTTCTAGGGAACCAAACCTATCATCTGAACTGAAAATTGAAGCAGATACATTATGGTTGTAGACTAAGGTGCAGCTTAGATGTAGCAAGAAAACAATTTAAAGGGATTTGGCTTCTTGTACCCAGATGTACCCAATGCACTGCCCACCAGAATGCACTGGCTGCTAATAACTGTAACTGAGCATTTTAATTACAGGTAGGTAGCCGTGTTGGTCTGCCGTAGTCGAAACAAAATAAAAAAGTTCCTTCCAGGAGCTCCTTAGAGACCAACTAAGTTTGTTATTGGTATGAGCTTTCGTGTGCATGGACACTTCTTCAGATATCTTCTTCAGATATTCTTCAGGTATCTGAAGAAGTGTATACCTTCAGATATTCTTCAGGTATCTGAAGAAGTGTGCATGCACACGAAAGCTCATACCAATAACAAACTTAGTTTGGTCTCTAAGGTGCTACTGAACATTTTAAATACATTTCTGGGGGAAGTTTTTTATAGTGGTTTTAAGATGCATAAACACACACATAAATGTACGCCAAACAGTTGAGAAACATGCAGGAGGGAAGGTCTGGTGGTTTAAGGGTTTTAGGCAGATTTAAAGGTACCTTCCCTTTTCTTTGTCTCTTCATCCCCATTTTTAAATTTGAAGTACTCTTGATGAAAGCTACTCTTTCCTTGACTTGCCAGACCACATCGTGAGCTTTGGCATAGTCAAAATGTGGCGTTTAGATTGCGTCTGCTTTATAAGGCTGCTGTTATAAATAAAGTGTGATGCTGTTGTGTAAATTCCTGCTTTTCCCCCCCTTCAAGGGCTTTGGGAGTTCCAGTAACGGACTACACTTTTGAAGATTGCCAGCTAGCTTTGGCTGAAGGACAACTTCGTCTCCCTTCAGACACCTGCCTCTTAGAATTTGCAAAGCTTGTGAGAAGCCTTGGGTGAGCAGGTTGATAAAAGTGTGGAACTGTACGACGGGATGTTTTAATCGCTTTGTAACGTTATAAAAGCACTTTTTTTAAAAAAAATGTATTTTAATTATAGATTTTCTTGATTTACAAAGGTATGTGCAATGTCTCTCTGTCGTATTTTTTTCCCATGTAGCTTTTTTTTCCTTTCACAAATCGGTTTAAAAGCAATAAAAAAAAAGGAAAGCATCTGGGAGGTTGTGGGGGCAATGTTTTGCAATCTTGCGGGAGCAGACCAGAATCACAGAGGTTTCAAAAGCTTAACAAATTTGACATCTGCCAGTGTTGTGCAAGATCTAGTTATAATAGGCTTCTTGCCACTTAATTCAGTTGAGCATTCCTGGCTTCAGTTGACTGTGGTTCTGATAATTAGGAAAGTCATAATTTGTATTCCTGGGTGAACCTAGCATATTACAACTTATGGTAGAGACAGAAAGGAAGAGCCATCTGTACAGTATATCACTTCCCCCTCACCTCAACACAAGTTAGATGCCAGGGTTGTGGTTTGCAGAAATCAGAGTCCGCGTTGCTTAAATTTATATTGTTAACAAAAAAAACACACCCTTTCAGCTTAACATGTTATATTGGACACTTCCCATGTTCACTCACATTTCAAAATGTCAAGAAGTTACAGCTGTTAAGTCCCCACACACTTAACAGATGCATTGTTTATGCAGTATTGATATGGTATTGAATCTTACCTTGTTAGATCCAGCTTCATCACTGCCTTGAAGCTTGGTGGTTGTCAGTGGTAGATGAGAATCTGAGATGATGATGATGATGAGATTTTTAAAGGAGGGCTTTTTCTACAACTGCAAATATAAAGTGGGAGCAACTTTTTCCAGTTCAGGATATTGCGTTAGAACTTTCCTCTTCTGAAAACTGAATTTATCCGAATGCTCTCCCACGTTGTTTTAGAGCAAAACTGTATATTCAGATTGCGTGGTACAGAATTCCTGGAACTCTGTCAATTCAGAATGAAGAGTGAAGAGATGCATGTCTGAATGATCCACCACAGGAAGAAAAGGTGTAGATTCATTGAATTGTAGAGTTGGAAAGGAAGCTGAAGGTTATCTAATCCAACCCCCCTGCAATGCAGGAATCACAACTAAAGCATCTATGACATATGGCCATCCAGCCTCTGCTTAAAATCCTCCAAGGGAGGAGAGTCGAACTCCTCTCTTGGGAATCATTCCACTGTCAAACAGCTCTTAGTGTCAGGAAGTTCTTCCTTTCTTGTAACTTGAATCCGTTGGTTTGGGTCCTAGCCTCTAGAGGAGGAGAAAACAAGCTTGCTCTATGTTGCTCGGTCCCTGCTCCTGCCAACCTAACAGTTTGAAAGCACGTCAAAGTGCAAGTAGATAAATAGGTACCACTCCAGCAGGAAGGTAAACGGCATTTCCGTGCATTGCTCTGGTTCACCAGAAGCAGCTTAGTCATTCTGGCCACGTGACCCGGAAGCTGTACGTCGGCTCCCTCGGCCAATAAAGCGAGATGAGCACCGCAACCCCAGAGTCGGTCACGACTGGACCTAATGGTCAGGGGTCCCTTTACCTTTTATTGTCAGATGGCTTAGGTGGTTGCTCATGAGTAACCAGGCAGGACTCTGACCTGTCTTTTACAGGTTTTATTTAGGTGCAAAACTATTTACAGTGCAGAACCCCAAAGTTCATGTCTGCCTCAATCGCTAGCAGAATCCGGGAGTGCTTGTTTCCTGGACCTCCCCCAGCATAAAAGTCTTGTTACGCCCAGCCTTTCCCTTCCCTCTTTGCACTTTAGACTTCTGTGCAGGGTGGGCGACGGAATGGGCGTGCTTCCCTCCTGGCCAGCTTTGCCAGGAGTGTTGTTGAGGCTCCTACCAGCATCCTCTGGTCCTTTCACTTCTTCCTCATCACCGGAAGAATTGCTTCGCAAGATTTTCGGAGGCTCCCTGTAACACAACTGCCCCTTTGTTTCCCGCCCCTGTTCTGATGGCAGTTCCCTGACAGCTATCATATCTCATCTCAATCTCCTCTTTACCAGGCTAAAGACATCACACATCAGGGATAAGGTTTTAGCATTTATCTTCTGTTAGTGGATTGCCAGGAAATTACAAACTGCCTGGTTTGTCCTCCTCAACACTCCTGTAAGAAAAAAAGAGAGAGGGTTGTCTACAATTTCAGCCTTGGTTGTTTTCCTCCCATGTTCAGATTAAAGCCAGAGAAACTTGAAAGAGAACTTGATGCATATTCAGGAAATACCAAGAGAATGAAAGACAAAAGGGTCAGTCTCAAGGAGTTTGCGGAATTCCTAGAAGTCCCAGTTTCTGACACATTAGAAAACATGTTTGCACTTTTTGATGAGGTAAGAAAGATGACAGTCTTGAAATTTCTAAATAACCACTTTTATTATTTGAATTAAGGCCTTGGGCGTTCTTTCGCTAGGAATGCAGTTTTCATTTGTGAGTATGGTTAATATAGCTGTAACATAGAAAGTACCCGTTTATGTTATGAACAATAGTTTCGGAAAAGTGATTACTAAATTCAGAAGGTCTTGTGTGCATGCCTTTTGCCTGCTGTGCAAACATTAGTAGTCTGAAATTACGCATCCTATTGGCTGCCGATCATCATTTTTACCATGGAGAAATGTAGCACAAGGGATACATGGTGACTATGACTTATTTTACAAATTAGACTACAGCATTCTATATACATACACATATATAGCAAGCATAACGTATTGTTGCATCAAAGAGAAGATACCAAAATGGCAATTGAATTAGTTCTTATCAATGGACCACCCTGTGCTTCTTCAGACCTCTGCAGTTTGAAGGAGAGAAGGGGTGGCATATGAAAAGCTCTCTATAAACACCCACATTTCACTATTTGAAAGCCCAGGTCCGTATAGTTAAAGCTATGGTTTTCCCAGTAGTGATGTATGAAAGTGAGAGCTGGACCATAAAGAAGGCTGATCGATGAAGAATTGATGCTTTTGAATTATGGTGCTGGAGGAGACTCTTGAGAGTCCCATGGACTGCAAGAAGATCAAACCTATCCATTCTGAAGGAAATCAGCCCTGAGTGCTCACTGGAAGGACAGATCCTGAAGCTGAGACTGAAGTATGGCTTTGGCCACCTCATGAGAAGAGAAGACTCCCTGGAAAATCCCCTGATGTTGGGAAAGATGGAGGGCACAAGGAGAAGGGGACGACAGAGGACGAGATGGTTGGATAGTGTTCTCGAAGCTACCAGCATGAGTTTGACCAAACTGCGGGAGGCAGTGGGAGACAGGAGTGCCTGGCATGCTCTGGTCCATGGGGTCACAAAGAGTCGGACACGACAAAATGACTAAACAACAACAAAGGGCTGTTTGAAAGCCTCGTGGTTCTTTTTGAGGTTTTGACAATCAAGAGCTCAAAGGGTTACATTAACTGATAGCACTATGATGCCAGGTGATTGGCAGGTGGGCTCCCTGCCCACCAGGGGTTGGGGAGAGAAAGATCTGGCCAGAAAGGGTTCCTTGCTGTAAAACAACTGAGAAATATAAGATGTTTCAAAAGTTCAGAGGACTTAGTCACCCCTAGTTTCTTTGTTTAGAAATCTTTGTGCTGAAACCTCCATGTGAGCTCTTTTTATGTGTACTTTTCAGAATTTTCTTTTCTTCAGTGGGTATTTTCTATGAAACTGGTAATACAGTTTTGTTTCTTTTTTTACAGAAGGAAGGGGGTCTGATTGACTTAAGAGAATATGTAATCGCTTTGTCAGTAGTCTGTCGGCCATCCAAAACCTTGCAAACGATACAGCTGGCTTTTAAGGCAAGTAGCAGCTTTTATTAAGATGGTTTGTTGAAAGCCATTTTTAAAAACAAAGCCCTTTTTTCCCTTTTCCTTTTTTGGGGGGCAAAACAGGTCAGTTCATTACATTGACCACAACTTCTCCGCATCCCTGGTCATTACTGTCTCTATACAAGCTCTGTACAGTGGTCAGCATCTAACAGTAGCCATATTCACTCACATGCATTCTGGCCCGCAAAACACAGCAGCAATCTGTTGTGCCCTGTGTTGTTTTTTTCCAAATCAGCAAGCAGGAGCACGAGACTGTGCAAATTGCTGCCTACGCAGGCAAATGGGTAAGAAAAAAGTAGCTTACATGCTCATCACTTGATGAAAGCAGCATCAAGCGACAACTTGTAAATGTGAGTGAGCCATCACATATACAACACCACAGAGACATCCTTTCTGGTAATTGTGTTTTATTGTACATTGATGCTTTATTTTATGAACTATGGCCAAAGAGGGGCTAACAAATGGGGAGAGAGTGTCACTTGATGATACCTCAAACTTAATGTTTATCAGTAAAGTTAATTCACGAAGAGTCACGAAGAGTCGGACACGACTAAACAACAAAAAAGTTAATTCACATAGTCATCTGTGAGTCATTGAACACCGAGAAATCAAGTGATGTAAGTGAAAGCCAGGGACGCGGGTGGCGCTGTGGGTAAAACCTCAGTGCCTAGGACCTGCCGATCACATGGTCGGCAGTTCGAATCCCCGCGGCGGGGTGCGCTCCCGTCGTTCGGTCCCAGCACCTGCCAACCTAGCAGTTTGAAAGCACCCCCGGTGCAAGTAGATAAATAGGGACTGCTTACCAGCGGGAAGGTAAACGGCGTTCCGTGTGCTGCGCTGGCTCGCCAGATGCAGCTTGTCATGCTGGCCACATGACCTGGAAGTGTCTGCGGACAGCGCTGGCTCCCGGCCTATAGAGTGAGATGAGCGCACAACCCTAGAGTCTGGCAAGACTGGCCCGTACGGGCAGGGGTACCTTTACCTTTTTAAGTGAAAGCCAAAGTTTGTGTACCTTTTGAAAGCGCTGGATTTCCTGAGCTCAGTATATCTGAAGACCACCTTTTCCTGCATGAGCAACCCCTTACCTTAAACACATCTGGGGTGATCCTGCTCTGGACGTGGCTAGGTCTTATTTTTATTTCAAAATGTTTATGACCTGCCTTTCTGTCCACCAGGGCCACCAAGGCAGCTAGCAATACACAATACATTGCCTAACTAGCAAAATGAACAATTCCCACAGAATAAAAGAGGCAGTAAAAAAAAAATAACTCAAGGGCATATGAGCTCCCCGATGCTCTCTTATCCCTCCAGCACTCAACTCTATTGTGGCAACACACCTGTGGATTGCATTTCCTTATGCTGGCCCACCAGATTACAGCCTCAGCAGAATTTAGGTGACAAATTAAGTACAGTAACAGGATCAAATGTTCATAAGCAAATACAAAAACAAAAAACCCCACAACCCTGAATTTTTACACACATCATTAAGGAGTAGCAACATTTCAGGTTTTTTTTGTTTCCAACTTCCCTCCCTTTATTAATTTGGTTTTTTAAAAGGAACTAAATGATATTTATAACGGGACGCGGGTGGCGCTGTGGGTAAAAGCCTCAGCGCCTAGGGCTTGCCGATCGAAAGGTCGGCGGTTCGAATCCCCGCGGCGGGGTGCGCTCCCGTTGCTCGGTCCCAGCGCCTGTCAACCTAGCAGTTCGAAAGCACCCTCGGGTGCAAGTAGATAAATAGGGACCGCTTACTAGCGGGAAGGTAAACGGCGTTTCCGTGTGCTGTGCTGGCTGGCCAGAGCAGCTTCGTCACGCTGGCCACGTGACCCGGAAGTGTCTTCGGACAGCGCTGGCTCCCGGCCTCTAGAGTGAGATGAGCACACAACCCTAGAATCTGTCAAGACTGGCCCGTACCGGCAGGGGTACCTTTACCTTTTTTTTAGGTCACAGTGAATGCCCTCTCTGCCAGATCTTAGACATTGGGAAGGCTGGTACAGGAATAGGCGGCCCCTAAGGTATCTAATAGGGACACGGGTGGCGCTGTGGGTTAAACCACAGAGCCTAGGGCTTGCTGATCAGAAGGTCGGCAGTTCGAATCCCCGCGACGGGGTGAGCTCCCGTTGCTCGGTCCCAGCTCCTGCCAACCTAGCAGTTCGAAAGTACGTCAAAGTGCAAGTAGATAAATAGGTACCGCTCCAGCGGGAAGGTAAACGGTGTTTTCGTGCACTGCTCTGGTTCGCCAGAAGCAGCTTAGTCATGCTGGCCACATGACCCGGAAGCTGTACGCCAGCTCCCTCGGCCAGTAAAGTGAGATGAGCGCTGCAACCCCAGAGTCGGCCACGACTGGACCTAATGGTCAGGGGGTCCCTTTACCTTTAAGGTATCTAATAAATTGTATCAATAAATGTATTTGCTCTTGGGCTTCAGCAAAATGTGTAAACTCTAAATGGAAAATAAAAGGTGGCGTATCAATCAGCGTAGGGAAGTTGGAAGATTTATTTGGCTGGGAGGAAAGTGTCAAACAGAGGCCCTGGGAATGTGTCTCTTTGCTGCTGCTGCAACAACAAATCATACGTTTTAATTTTTCACAGATGTATCAGTCAGAAACTGGAGCTCTAACAGAAGAAGATTTAACTTGCATTTTAAAGACTGCCATGGGGGTTTCAGATCTTAATGTGTCAAACCTTTTCAGAGCTATAGACGTCGACGAAAGGGGGGAAATTACATACGGTGAGTTCCGTGCTGTGATTTTAGAAAGCCGCAGACAATGGGGAACTTTTGTGTCGCGGCCAGGCATGTCCCACGGAAAAGAGCAGCTGCCTGGGGGCAAGTGTGACAGGTTCCTGGCCATTGTGTTGCATGGGAAGGGCTGTAGCTCAGAGTTTAAGTCCCAGCTTCAAACCCAAGCATTTCCAAGTGGGAATGCCTCTGTCAGAAACCCTGAAAAGCCAGTCAGTACTAGATAGTCTGGCTCAATATGAAACAGCTTCCTGTGTTAATGGGCTTCCTGGAATGTCTGTATATGGAGCGTTATTATTTCTTGTGCTATACCTTTTCTTCCAGCTTGTATGGTTGGCACCCCCTTCACCCCTTTGATCCCTCCAGCAATCCTGAGAGATAGTGCATGGCCCAAAGTAATCCAGAGAGCTTCCAAGCCAAATGGAAATTTGAACTTGGATCAGTCCCGTCCTAGCGCAGCACATTAACACGGTCCATGCTATGGTTACCGGTAGCTAAAGGTTCCATTCTGTTTTATGATCAGTGACATTATGCTGCAGTGTTGGGCACTGTGATCTCAACCACTGAGCCTCTTGGGCTTGCCGATCGGAAGGTTGGCGGTTCGAATCTGCGTGACAGGGTGAGCTCCCATTGCTTTGTCCCAGCTCCTGCCAGTTTGAAAGCACACCAGTGCAAGTAGATAAATAGCTACAGCTGTGGCGAGAAGGTAAACGGCGTTTCCTTGCTCTCTGGCTTCCGTCACGGTGTCCCATTGCACCAGAAACAGTTTATTCATGCTGGCCCCATGACCCGGAAAGCTGTCTGTGGACAAACGCCAGCTCCCTCAGCCTGAAAGCGAGATGAGCGCCGCGACCCCATAGTCGGCTTTAACTAGACTTAACTGTGCAGGGGTCCTTTACCTTTTACCTTTACCTATTGTAATAAACCGACCTGTCAAGAAAAGGCCAACGCAAACAAACAAACAAACAAACAAACAAACCATTTCTTAAAGCTCAAGGAGGTGGGGAGGGGAGGAACATATTAACGTGTAGTTCTGCAAATCATTTTGAGTTGTTAGCAAATGTTAGTGTTACTCAGGGAAAACCCATTGAAACTAATGAAAATGACTATCCTGGATCAGTGGGTCTACTCTAAATATAATTTAATTGGGTTCAACCCTTTGGAAAATGCTCTTAAAGTTTGGCATGGGAGACTTAGTAACTAGTAGCCTACTTAGTACTTTTATTGTCTTGCAATCTTTCTTGATTTTGTAAGTAAAATGTCAATTTTAAACGCTTAAAATGTATGCTTGCTTTTATTAATTTCTAGAGGATTTCCACAAGTTTGCCGAAATGTATCCAAACTTTGCTGAGGAGTATTTATATCCCGATCAAATGGAGACTGATAGCTGCCCTGCTCCTAACGGTTTCTGTACAGACTTCAGCCCAGAAACTACTGAAGACAGAAGAAATCACCTGCAGAAGAAACTGAATTAATGTTAACAATTCCAGCGTCCTCTTCTGGTGAGAGGAGTGTGTCCTGTCTTGGGCTCGTCATAGTCACACAACTATGTAATCTGAAGTATGTGAGGGGTGTGTAAGACAGAGAGGAAAGTGTGTGTGTGTGTGTGTGTGTGTGTGAGAGAGAGAGAGAGACAGAGAGAGAGAGAGAAGATTTTGCTGCATTAATGAGCATCTTCAGACTTCCTGTTTGGAAGATCTTGGTTTTTTCCATCAGCATCTTGGAAAGTAAAGAATGTAAATGAACTTTTAATTTGTGTACTTAAAAAGAAGATGCTTGCATATTTATATTCCATTGTTTAGTTCCATGTACAAAGTGTCCTACAAAGTGTGCATGTGTAAAGAATACTGTAGCTCCTATGGTGTTAAGTGCACTTCGGTGATTAGTGTTATTCCTGTTTAGGGAATTGTTTGGGTTCAAGTTCCGCTTTCCTTCTTCATGTGAAGACACAACTATTTACTGCTGACTCTGGTCACTGGTCTTCTGAACAAGGCTAGCTCAATTTAGCCCTTTTGTTTTCATTTCAGCAAACAGTTAAAGGAAGAAAAGTATGCAAAAATATTTTTAACTAAGGAATTTTTAAAATTATTTTTCTTGTAAGAGGACTTTTTTGCCATTCAGTTCATGGTAGTATTAAAAATTGGAAGGGCGTGGTTGTTCCCTGGGTTGTGTGCATTCTGTGCTAAAAGCATGAAAACATCTGTACCAAGTAACATAAATTCAAAGAAAACTGAATTCCGAGGTTTATATAAACTAGATAATCTTCCACATTATATATAGTTCTGCTTTTCCTGAATGTGGGCAATGACCAAAACAAAATAAAATGAGGCAGGTTTGAGAGAGACTGAGGCCCAGTGTGATGTAGTACTTGAGAGTGTTAGCCTAGCGCCAGGAAGACCTGAGTTTGAATCCTGGCTCAGTCACAAAGCTCACCAGTTTACCTAGGGCCAGTCACACTCTCAGCCACACCTGCCTCACAAGGTTGTTGTGAGAATGAAATGGACCGGAAGGAACCCTTGAGTTCCTTGGAAGAATGGTGGGATACAAATTGCCCCTGACCTCTGGAAAGTCATATTATTCCCATTATAAAAAGCTGCTGAGATTTCATAGCCCAGATACTTTCACTTTTATCTTCACATCTTAAGGGCCAGAAATGTTCATTTTTTAAAAAATGAAAGCTAAAATTCTCAGGATGCTGAATACTGCCCTCAATTCAAATTTATTTAATTATTGGGTATGAACACAGAACGCCACACAGCCCTGGCCACATTCCTGCCTTTTCTGTTGTATTTCACTTAGGGTTTTCTAGCAGGGGATAATTAAACAAGGTATATTTTAATCAGCTTCAATGGATTTGGCTTTTTTTGCACAGAAACAACACAATGCATAATGGAGACTGAACAGGCATAAAATAAACCATTTTTAACACCAGAAAGCCATCAGTTCTTGTGAACTGCCCTGAGACCTGTGGGTATAGGGAAGTATACAAATTTAATAAATAATAATAAAATAGTCCCTCATAATCACCCACAGATATCATAAGATTTGGTTGTACACGTTTTCAGAAAGAACGCTTGGTAATATCCGACTCCATTTTTTAAAATATCCCTGCCTTAGTGACTTTTTCATTGCAAGACGCTTTTCAAATCAATGTATTGCCTCAAATGGTCACAAAACCTCATTGTTCTGAAATGTGTTTTCCTACAGTCCACAGCTTTTCTACAGTTAAAAACTGGACATTAAAAAAAAAGATACAGTATAAATTACTGTATTACATCAGCTTTCTAACCCCCTTTTAATGTATACAGAGATCAAAAAGAAGAGGACATGGAGGTGTTTTATCTATGAATCTGCTTGCTTCCAAAATGCTGTTGGGATCACATAATTTTGAGCAACTATTTAGGTTGTTAATAGGTTTGGAATATAATTTTTCCCTCCTGAAATCAAGAAGTTGCACACATAGTTTCAATGAGTCTTGCCATTATGTCAGTAAAAGGTATTCATCTGAAGGGTGATTCTCCGTGGCCTGAGAACGGTCATTGGTTGGGCAATGGCTCCATCTTGGGAACAAAGATAGGAGCGGAACTTCAGAGAAGTAGACAGCTCCCACAATCCAGTTTGCAAACTTGTTTTGTTATCAGAAAATGGCAGAGTCCTTGGTCTGCATCAAAGTAGCCTCAAGTTAACAGAGCATTGAAACCTGATCAAAAGTTAACCTGAATGGCATTGTGCCCTATCTGAAGAAGAAGAGTTTGGATTTGCTATCCCGCTTTATCACTACCCTGTTGTTGTTTGTTGTTGTTTAGTCGTTTAGTCGTGTCCGACTCTTCATGACCCCCTTCGTGACTACCCTAAGGAGTCTCCCCCTTCGTGACTACCCTAAGGAGTCTCAAAGCGGCTAACATTCTCCTTTCCCTTCCTCCCCCACAACAAACACTCTGTGAGGTGAGTGAGACTGAGAGACTTCAGAGAAGTGTGACTAGCCCAAGGTCACCCAGCAGCTGCATGTGGAGGAGCGGGAGATGCGAACCCGGTTCACCAGATTACAAGACTACCACTCTTAACCACTACCACTACACCACACTGGCTGAGCAAAGAAGTGGGGGATTTTTGCTTGCTTCTCCTCACTGCAGTACTGCCTGCTTTCTGGACTCCTAAAGCTACATCAAACCACGGGGAAGTGAATCAGCGTTCTTTTGCCACAAAGCAGTCCACCATTTAATTTCCTTTGCAATTGCAAACACACATGCATGCCAAAATTATACAGGTCTAGTTTCAAATTTGTGAGCTTCCTTTTACATCTCATTTATTCAAATGTCAATTATGTTGTCTGAGAGTGCAGCATTTTTTTTCTGGCTTTCCAGCAGGAAAAGTCTTTAGGGTTGAAAAGTCTGCTTGGTGAAGGCAGGGCACAAAGCGCTGGATAGCACACATTGCACACTGAAGGCTTGCATCCAATGTAATTGCCACTCTTGGCAGGTCTTTGAAGGGAGACCTGTACTTTTGTATCCAGGGTTCACCCAACACATGGCCAGCAGAAGACAGCGATGAAATGTGCACAGGAACGTGTCTGTTATAGGCTGTTGCCCACTGGAACAAGAGAAGTGCTAACTGAAAGCAGTGATAGTGATGTTTGGTCCAGACTGTGATTTGAGCCACGGGCATGCGGAGGTCGAGGACTTCTTCCAAGAACATTACACCTGCCTTTTTGAAAGAGGCCAGAACCTTAATCTTCAAAATGTAGTCTAGAGAGAGCAACATCATACCTGTTGAGGTTTCAAGAAGCATTCCAAGATGGACCAGCTGTCGAATCGGAGACAGGTGATTCTTGCCTGGGTTTACAAGGAATCCCTGGGTCTTCAACCAAGGAGGAGTCAAAGCCATGTCTCAATGGGCCCAGAGTGGTACAGCCGATAAGGAGATTGCCCTGGAAGCAGAGGTGAGCCACCAGGGCAACCATACTCTGTGTGGAGGTCTGAGGTGCTGTAGCCAAGTAGAAAGGAAGGGCCCAGTATTGAAGATGATTCTGGTCAAATGAAAACTACAGGTACTTCCTGTGATTGCAGTGAATGGGGATGTGCAGCTATGTTTCCTGAAATCTGTGGGCACTAAGAAATACAGCGTTTGGATAGAATCTTAGGTGGAGGCCAGAGATTCCATCCATAACTTCTTGTAAGCGACCCACTGGTTCAGGAACTTGAAATCTAGCAAAGTCATCTAGGATTTCTTTGGCAGCAAATGAATATTGAATGGGTGGGGAACCTTATTTGTTCTGAGCCAACATTGGCAGTTGGGTAGGACTTCTCACCTGTCAGTCACGCATCATTATGATGTCACGTAATTGACAGTGTCCCGCCCACTGGTCAAAATTCTTATGCAGGGATTATGGAAGTGACAAACAGGGGGAGGAAGAAAGAATTGTTTAGCAACCAAAGGCAATGCAGGAGTTCTCCTGAGCTCTGTCTTTGCTTGAAAATCATACTTTTCTCCTCTCCCCCCACAGGGGAAGGGGAGAAAGTTGCATTTTGCAGCAAATACAGGATTGCAGGAGAAGTATTCAGCTGCAACAGGGATGAGGGGATAAAGAAACCGTGTGAGAGAAAAACCTAAACTGCACCAGAAAAGATAGAAAGAAAGCCACAGGTAGCTGGGGAGGAAATAAAGAGACAAGATAATGAAGAAAGGAAGAAGAAACCAATGAATTATAATCCTGAGGAGAATAAATGAATGGGAGCTCTAAGGAACGGTTTTCCCAGTAGTGATGTATGGAAGTGAGAGCTGGACCATAAAGAAGGCTGATCGCCGAAGAATTGATGCTTTTGAATTATGGTGCTGGAGGAGACTCTTGAGAGTCCCATGGACTGCAAGAAGATCAAACGCATCCATTCTTAAGGAAATCAGCCCTGAGTGCTCACTGGAAGGACAGATCGTGAAGCTGAGGCTCCAGTACTTTGGCCACCTCATGAGAAGAGAAGACTCCCTGGAGAAGACACTGATGCTGGGAAAGATGGAGGGCACAAGGAGAAGGGGGCGACAGAGGATGAGATGGTTGGATAGTGTTTTCGAGGTTACCAGCATGAGTTTGACCAAACTGCAGGAGGTAGTGGAGGACAGAGGTGCCTGGTGTGCTCTGGTCCATGGGGTCACGAAGAGTTGGACACGACTAAACGACTAAACAACAACAACAAGGAACGCAAACAGGATTGTTAGAGGTGCCTGCTTCTACGAAGTTCTTGCTCCTACTGTTCCCCACCAGATGGAACTGTTTCCCAAGCTGTGATCTTCTCAGGTCATGGAAGAATCTCCTGGCTTTTCATTGATCCGTCTCATTTCCCACAAAGCTTCTCACTCTCTGATCTTGCCTTTCATATGCCTGACTGCACATCCAGCTGCCACATATTTCCTCATCCTCCACTCTGGGTGCTTCCAGACTAGGGTTAACTCTAGAATTGCCTCTTTTTGTCCACTCGCTTTTTATCAGGCACCTGCCATTAAAATGGCCGTGCTGCCTTTTCTGTACTCATTCCATTTCCCTTTTCAGAGCTCACAAAATCCCAACTTTTGGAGGGGAAGGAACAAAACAGCAGAGCAATCTCTAGCCTTAGAACACCTTCATTTTTTATTAAATTTGTATACCGCCCTTCCTCCATAAATCTCAGAGCAGTTACAAGATTGAAACACAATGCTACTCTTCCATCCATTTCAAGAGGTGTAGATTTGACATCACGTGGGCACACCTTCAGTGTTACTTTTCCAGTTGGTGCTATTTTAGCAACATGGGTTGTCGTTTTGTACTCTTTTATTTTCGTGCAGTCTTTTACTTTCAAGCATTTTAATGCATTTGTAAATTGTGTGTTTAGGTCCATTGTTACAACTCCACTCAGAAGGCTGTTGTGATGTTCACAGTTGTGGACAGAACATAGCAGGGTACACACATAGAACCGTAGAATTCTAGAGGTGGAAGGGACCCTGAGGATCAGCTAGTTCAACCCCCTGAAATACAGGAATATGCAACTGTCCCATACGGGGATCGAACCTGCGACCTTGGTGTTATCAGCACCATGCTCTAACCAGCTGAGCTATCCATGCAAACTGTTCTACCCCTTAAAGTGTAGGAACCTAGGGGCAGCGGCGTAGCGTGGGTTGTCAGCACCCGGGGCAAGGCAAGTAATTTGCGCCCCCTAACCTGACGCCGCTGCCAACTTCTTCTTGCTGCTGCCTGGGCTGGGGTATTTACAGTAAGGTAGCCACGCCGCCGCTGGCGGGTCCGTGTCAGGTGATCTGAGGCGAGTTGCCGCTGACGCTGCCACCCAAACGACGCCGCTTGCCCCGTAGGAGGAGGAGAGCAGAGAGGCGAGGAAAATGCAACATGGCCCCGCCGCTGCAGCAGCGGCGGCGGGGCTGTGAGGAGGGGCTGCCTGGCACGCCCTCTGCGGCCCTGATGCGCGGGGACCGTGGCGAGCGCTGAGAGCCGCTGCCAGCTCGTCAGTTCCGCGAGACATGGGGCTCTGCTACAGCCTGCGCCCGAGGCTCTTCGGCGACTCCGGAGGCGGCGAGCGCGCCCCCCCAGATGTTGCGCCCGGTGCGGCCGGCCCCCCCTGCACCCCCACGCTACGCCACTGCCTAGGGGCAATGCTGCATGTAGAAAAGCAGTGATTGAACAATGCTAAAAGTAAACACTAGCGGTGTGAAAGCTCCCATTGTGCCGTGTAATTTCTAATACACAACATGCACCATATGAAATGCTATGGGAGAATGCCCCTTGCCTGTGAATGACTAGAGCAGATACTTGTCTTCTCTCGATGGCAATACCATGAAGAATAGAAACATCGTCGTCGTATGTTTAAAAGATTCATTTCATTCTGAAGAGATATCAGACTTCTGGTTTATTTACATGCCTGCTCCATTCAGAGACTAATTTTCCTATTCATTGTGGGTAGAGATAACAGAGCCTATACGAAGCCTGAACATTGTGCAAATGGCCCCATTGAAGCTGGTGGGGTGGTGTATTTCAAAATTGGGACCAAAGAACCAAGGACACTTTTGTTGTCGTTAAGAGCTGTTATGATCACTTCAGTCCAGCTGCTGTTAGTGGGAACAGCTTTCGATACATTTCAGCTTGTTTGTGGGATAATGACCATAATATAGAGTCCTACTTCAGTAAGTTAAGTGTCAACAGCATTTTTATACTGCCTACTGTCATTTAAATGAATTTTAATGTGGGGATATTTTTTTCATAACTTTCAGAAG